GAGGACCACTTCCCTGGGAAGTTGGTTCCAGATTTTGGCCACCCTAACTGTAAAATATTGCCTTCTGATCTCCAACCTAAACCTATTCTCCATCAGCTTATGACCATTGTTCCTTGTCACCCCAGGTGGTGCTGGGGAGAAAAGGGCTCTGCCTATTTGCTGTTGATCCCCCCTGATGAGCTTGTAGGCAGCCACCAGGTCCCCCCTCAGTCTCCTCTTACTGAGGCTGAACATGTTCAGGTCCTTCAGTCTCTCCTCATAGGGCCTGTCCTGCTGCCCTCTCACCAAGTGGGTGGGCCTCCTCTGAACTCTCTCCAGGCTGGCCACATCCCTTTTGAAGTGCGGCACCCAGTACTGGACACAGTACTCCAACTGCGGCCTGACCAAAGTCGCATTCACCTCTCTGGACCGGCTTGAGATGCTTCTCCGGGAGCTGCTGGTCCAGTGCTCGCCCTCTTGTCCAGCAGCTCCCACCGCTGCTCCCACCACTTGTCCAGGAGGCCGTGTGCCCCCAGATCTGCATGGGGCATGGTGGGCTGGGGCCGGGGCTGCACAGGGTTCTTCCTGGCCCGCCCCACCCCACGCAGACCCAGGGGCACGCCTCCCATGCTCTCCTGGACAAATGGTGGGAGCAGTGGCGGAAGCCGCCAGGCGAGTGGGCGAGCGCCAGACCAGCAGCTCCGAGACGAGCAGTGCACAGTGGTGGGAGCTGCCCCCGTCTGCCTCCTCACACCCTCCCCTCACACTGCCTTCCTCCCCCCTCCCCTTCCACCACACCAGACTTGCCAGCTGCATGCAGCTCTTCAAGTTGCCAGGCTGCGGTCCTCACTGCCTGTGCTGTGCCATGGCTTTGTACATGCACTGACATTTATTGGCCAAATTATCAGCCACATCAGGCTGATTTCTGATATGATCTTTATATCAGTGCCAATCCAATATCGGACCGATGTATCAGTGCACCTCTAGAAAATTTAGCTTAAAAATTGAAAGCTGAAAAGCTCTAAGCACCTGAAGAAAACCCCTTTAGACGGACGTGTGCACATGTCTTTTGTTCATTGTCATTCCACCTTTGCAATTACCCCATCCACGTGGTGCTGTACTTTTTTCCTTCTTTGCTTCAGAGTAAGCAAACTAATGGCATCATTTAGGCCTGGTTTAACTTGCTTACTAAAATCTAGAATTACAGAATGCTTAGGGAGCTGGGTGGTGTTGGGTTTGACAGCAAGGCTTTATCAGTGCGAGCTTGGGTTGGCTGTATGTGGGAGGAATAGGAAAACCACAGGTGAGTTATGGTAGTCCCTGCAATCAAGTAGTAATTAAATGGGAAAAAAATGACTGCACTGTCATGCATTCTATATGTCACATACTGTACAGAAGAGAGAGAAAATACTGGAGTTTTAAAATCTCTTTTTATGGCAACGTATTATGTATTTGCTTGTAAAACCTTCGTTACCCATGTGTAGAACTCAGAATAGCCATAAATGTCTCAAAAGTAACCTAAAACAACTTGATAATCCACCATGTAACCAAGTTGGTATCTACGAAACCTGGAAATACGTGGCTGTAATTGGAAGTAGAGACTTACCCTCCGTATTATGAAGTGACTGTTTCTAAGGAAGTGAGGCATTGGGGATAGGGGTGCAGGACAGAGGGTCAGATAGCCTGGTTGTTTGTGCATAGCAAAGCATTGTTAAGCAAGTAGCCTTTTACAAGGTGGATTTCCCTGTAGCATTTGCAACACAGATGGTGCAATGTCAACCTCATGCAGAGGAACCAGAGTGCAGCTGGCTGTTGTCCACTTTCATTTTCCAAACAGAGCTAACAAAAACATAACACATGGCACTGAGAGGAAAAAGAGAGATTTTTGGAAACAAAATGTTGGTTTCTCCTTAGGAGAGGCATTAGATGAAGGAACAGTCTGGTGGGTAGGATGCTAGTATAGGGCATAATAGACCAGGGTTCAAGAGGCTTCTCTGCATAAGTTTTGACCTGACCTTGGGCAAGTCACTTTACTTCTCTGTCTCAGTCCCTGTCTGTAAAGTGGAAATTGCAGTAATTTTGTACTTCCGGGGGGCACTAGGAGGATAGAGACACTATAGGGTGTGAGGCTCTTGGATGATAGCAGCCATCGATGTCAACTTTTCTCATATCCTGTGGAATCGTTTTTAAGGAACAAGCTGTTTACGAATTGCCTTTTAACTTTGTGTCCACAAGCTCATCCTTCACCTTCTGGGTTTCTCTCTGAACTCTTCTTTCTCATTCTGTGGCTGCCCTAACATGTGATTTCATTGCCCTTCCTTACCCCCATCTCCCACTGTTTCTCATGCAGGCTTCTGGAGCAGGGTTACCAGAGTGACATTGTCTTCATCGTGCATGGGAAATCTTTCTGTGCCCATCGTTGCATCCTCAGTGCCCGTAGCGCCTACTTTGCTGAAATGTTCGAGACTAAGTGGAAAGGGAAGAACATGATCGCGCTAAAGCACCCGCTGGTGAGGAGAACTGCCTGTGGGCTATTTTCTCCTTGGGGAACGTGAGTTTGAGGGGTAACTTCAATTGGTGATACCATGTCAGACAGAACTGTTCCAGATACAGTTCTGAGGGAGAGGGGTCAGTTGCTTCTTTCATCTGCATTGCCCCCTAGTCAGAGATAACAAAGGTGTAGACCTTGTATGGTCAGACTCCTCTCCTGTCGCCCCTTTTGTGGTTCAAATGCAGCTCAGAGTAGTAGCCGTGACTAACTGAGAGCTGTCACCCTCTGCCAGCTGTTAGAGGACTGTTATGTAAAGTGAATTGGGCCTTTGTCTAATTCCCAGCGGACGGGTGGCTTCTATCATAGAAATCACTACTATAACTGGTTCCCCCTTGCTGCTTTAATGTAGAAGTCAAAGTCATCTTTCTTGCATCATTTACCAACACTCTTTAGCCTGTGTTCTGTGGTTCAGCTGTTTGTGTGAAACCTCAGATACTCCATGGCTGCAAACATGCTTCCTCTTTCTCAGAACGCTCTCTTAATTTTAAGCAACTTCCAGCCTTGGTGCTTTTTATGCTGTAACTTTTAGGTCCTCTTCTTTTGGGGACCCAGGCTTGGACGTGGGGACCAGTGGGTGACTCGGTGCTTCTCCCCCAGTACTCTGCAGTAGTGAAGTGTTACTGCTGTTGTTCGCCTACACACCCATATGCACACAACCACAATGCAGGCCCAGTGTCTTTGCTTGCAACAGATGTTGTTGCTCAGGCCTGTAGTGCAAGATGGAGTGGAATAAAATAGATGCTAAGTAATGCACTAAAAGAGCCATGATTTACACACTTGCTACATAGGGAGCAGGGAAAAAGCTTTTGTAGTAAAACCACTTTTACTCCAGCGGGTGGAACTTTACAAAGTGGGCATCCCCTCTTCTCTCCTGTGCTTTCTAGAGTCCTTTTCTGGAGCTGGATCCCCCTGGCCTTTACCTTAACACCATCTGGTTGGTATGGCTAGAAATTCATTTTAATGTGCCAAACTGCTTGTGTAACATGCACATGCTTTTCACGGGTGACCTTTTTCACATCCTATTTTAGATCAACCCAGCAGCCTTTGGATCTCTCCTGCAGTATCTGTACACAGGTAAGTCACTGTTGCTTGCTGTGTATGTGTACATGTATGTATTGGAGTGGAGTAGTCAGCATCTCTCTACCGAGGCACTGATTGAGTGGCAGAGGCTTGCAGATGAACTTGTTTGGCTAGGATCAATACCATCTCTCATCTGGCAGAGCACTTGCACTCTCCCTGTCTGTCCAAGTTGGTGTAACGGGCATGCTCCTACTTCCTGGCTGTCATTGGCCTGCCAGTGACTGAGGAGTCACTAAAAGTCAAGTGTGGTAGAGTGGCCAACTGCAGAGAAGCACACCTGAGCTAGTTTCAGAAATAATGTCTCCCATGGAGGCTGGTGATCTCTTAAACTGAGGAACAGCCAAGTTCTCTGTAGGAATTTCCAAGCTGGGAAACCTGCCTGTCACAGGTTGCTGAATGATTTGACTGTTATCTGTTAAGGTCTTTCCTCAGCAGAATTTGTTTTTAAACCTTGAGGCTATTATATGGCCATTACCAAGTATACAACATTCTGTTATGTAGACCAGTGGTTCTCAACCTTTTTTGTACCAGGACCCATTTGTAAACATTGATGGCCAGTCCTGACCCAGTGCCTCTCACTCCCAACCTGCTGCCCCTCTGCCTCCAACCCCGCAGTGTGTGGGGAGGGGAGGCGTGTGGGGCATGGGGACCCCAAGTGGCCCCTTGCAGGCGGGAACTCTGCTAGCCTGCAAGGGCAAAGCCACAATTTCCCACATTTTTCTCCTTTAAAGGGAAATCCATTGTTAAAATTAGTTGATCCATTGTTAAAGTTTGTTTGCAACCCTTTCACATATCCTTGTGACCCACTTTTTGGTTGCAACCCACAGGTTGAGAAATGCTATTCTAGGCAGTGTAGTGTAGTACTCCCTCTGGCCAGAGGGTGGTGCTCCAGGCTAAATTGATACATGCTGTATAGGAAAAATTTCTAGGGCACTGTTTTTTTCCATTGGAAAAGTGGTTTATCTCCTTAGGGTTAGTTTAAGTAAATTGAATGCTGATGAAAGTGCATGAGACCTGAACTCCTTTCTCACCCATAGACGAATAGATTATGGCCCCACAACTCTGTTCTGGAAAGCATCCATTGTCACCCATGAAACTGAAATTTGGCATCCAAGAGTTTCTCTGCTGGGATTAGCAACCAGGGGTTATGGGCACCTGTCCTTGGTACTGAATTAAGAATAGCCCAACCTGGCTTGTATTGGTCACTTAGCAGTCAGCAGCTAGTGGTGAGTCTTATGTGCCTGGGCTCAGTTCACGCCAGTGGTCCAGAGCTGAGTGTGTGTGACCAGTTTGTTGATCCAAGCAGTCTCTCTAGGTTGGCTGTTCTTATGTATAAGTGTGTAAATGGTGACTGGTGCGAGGCGAAGGAGTTCACTGACAGTAACTCTGTATTGCTCTCTGGCAGGTGGACTAGACCTTGACGTTGAATACGTGAGCGACTGCAAGAGACTGGCCAAGCAGTGTCGGCTGCAGGATCTCATTGAGGATTTGGAGACCAAGTGTAAAAAGGTCTATGAATTTGGTGAGCAACTTTTCTGACTGCTGCCTTCTGTGTGTTTCATTTTTGGGAGGAAGAGGGGAGCTTGACAAGTGATGTTATACCCACTGTGCACCTGGAGCACTCAGGGGTGCGAGCGTTTGTTGTGAATGATGCATAGAACTACTATTGTAAGGACAGCTTTTTAGATAGAGGCTCTGTAAGGCGTAACTTGTGTGCCATGTAGATCGGTGGAGAGTTGCAATGCTTTGTGTGTGTGTTCAGTGGAAAAGTCAGATAACTTAGGCTCAAAATTCAATTTTTGTTTGTGTAGATGGATGCAAGAATATTTACATGTTCTTGTCTTTTTTTGAATATATGCATATACACATGACCTTAAGATGGGAAATATTTCCATGCGTTTTTAAAAACAACTTGCTACAAGCAGCTTTCTGGGTTTTGAATGTTTTTCTGAGTGTTCAATCTCACTGGGCTATTGGGTGAGAACCAGCAGGGGGCATGCCGGTCTTCCAGCTACGTGTACACCGTGGTTAAACATCCATCTTCATTGCTGGAACTAAATGAAGCATAGAAAATGATCAGACAGGACAAATATGGCAGAGTGAAGTAAATTGAAAAATGACCTCCTTTCAGATGTAGTAACTTGGCAAATGAGTTAGGCAGTAAGGAAACCCGCAGCTTGAGAATGCATGGGGGTACATGCTCCTCTCACTCTCACTTCGTGCCTCCTTTGCCTTCAGTGCAGCTGCCACTGGGGAGAGAGAAGAATCTGGCCCGTAGCTTCTTGGTTACATGCTTCTTTCATCAGATGGCAGCTATATCTGCTCTACTGTTTTGCTTTGCCTGAATCTTAATGGTGGATTTAGATTTTGTGCTCTAAAATCATCTACTAGAAGGTCCTTGGGTAATGAGCTGTGTTTTGAAGCCTTTTTTTTTCTGTTGTTGTATGCGTTAGTATTCACATGCATCTACATATGTAGAAAATAAATTGCTCTGGTGCTCTTTACAAACTGCACAAGAACATTTTCTGCTGGGAAAGGGGTAGTCCAGTGGTTCTCAACTCTGTTAGGCTTGAGTCACCCCTTGGAAAATGCCAGCTTTTTGCTTTTGCTTGATTTTTTGTTTTTTGTTTTTGTTTGTTTGGTTTTTTGGGGGGTTTTTTGGACTATGGAAACATAACAGAGCAATTTTTGTGTTGCAAAGCACTCTAATCATAACAGGTCAGAATGTTTTTGACACTGTGGATTCCCATTTGAAATCTCTGGGTTTATCTTGTGAACCATGTAGGAGTTTGCACACCTAACAGTGTTAATATTACATGGCATGCCTAAAAGGATCTTGTGGCACTCCAGGGTGCTGCATCCCCCTGCTTGAGGATCACCAGAGTAGTTAATATCAGTGAAAAAAGGGACTAAAACAGTCAGTTGGGCAACCAGAACAAAGTTATGTTTTGTAGCATCTTTGCCACTGAAGTGTTTCAGCTGTCTGCTAGAGATCAGCTTCCTGGGGAGCTGCTTTATTGATACAGTGACCTTTCCACTCCAGAAGCACAAGTGAAGATACCTTATTAGTTAGCAAGTAAAACGAAGGGTGGTTTGCTAATTAGCATCCCTGCATGTTCTGAAACTGTTGCAGAGCATAGCTGGCAGCTTCTGCCCAGGCAGCCCAGGATGGAGAGAAAAGAAATTATTGCAGGCAAAAGCTAAGATGCCCAGAAAGGGGGGGGGGGGGCAGGGAGAAGCAATGCTGTCTCAAAGATTAGTGTTGGATTAAGGGTTGGACATGGGTTCTAATCCCACTCCTGGCAGCAACTTCTGAGGTGGCCTTGGACAGGTGACTTTAACTCATTTGTTCTCATCAACAAGATGGGACCTCTAACTGTTCATTACCCAGGCTGTAGGGCTTAAATCAGGAGTCAAGAGACGTGAGGTGGTGATGGTGTATGCCAGGATCAGATCGAAAGAGTTGTTAGAGCTGTTGAGTGTTCTCTTAAACATTTGCTTCTCCCACCTGACCTTTTATGTGAGCTACAGAAACTATTAAAGATTAAATATTAAAGGGTCATAAAAGTTAAGATCTGGAAAAGATCTCCTGAGTCGCGTCATTTCCAGTACTAGCCAAATCATTATTGCTCCCTCTGGTGTGCTGGGGGGTCTTTACTGAGTGAGACTATTTTCTGTAGAACAAACATCTGGCCCAGTTGTGCTGGTGGGGGTCAAGTCTCACTAGCCATATTATGACAATGTAACACGGTGAATACAAGCAGTAACGTGCCCTCCAGTGTAGTTTTAGTGCACAGCTGCATGGCAGGCACCTCTTTCTGATCTCATGACCTAGAGCTCATCAGAATTTCCAAAGCACTCAGTAATCTTGATACTGTGCAGGGAGTTGGAAAAAACGCAGCAGGAATTGATCTGATGTGTTGGACTGCAGCTGAGGTAGGCTAAGCATAATTACCTGCATATTTCCTCCCTCCTGCATGCTAATTTGTAACTACAGAAAACCTCTTATGCAGTTTGGGAGAACTCAGGATCTGTGTAGATTAACTCCTAATCCTTGGAATTGGAGGTATTCATAGAATAATGTTCAGGAGCTTTTTTGTGCCCATACTAGTGTACACAGCACTATCTGAGGTGGGATCAGTGGTTGCATTTAGTTCCAGCACTGTAGAAGAGGATGTATAATCTTGAAAAAGGATTTTTTCAACCCAGCTTAACCAGTGGTACATTATTAAAGACAATAGTGAAGCCTCAAGCAGATGATGAATTGGATAGTGCTGGACACTGCTGCAGAGTGGTACCAGCTGGAAGGGGCTCATGATTAAATTGTCCATCCCATAGAGCTGCTGTGAGATTATTCTGAACAGTATTCTGTAGTCCTTTTGTCCTGTCTAGTTTCTGTGAGCATCTTGAGACCCTTTCAGATACTCCACCTACATCTGTCTTTTTTCATTTCATAACACTCTTTAGCCTCTCTTAAATTATTACTGTCCCTCCTTGGTTCTTATGCTTACCAGACAGTTGCAAGAGTGTGTTTTCCTTTACCCGAGTAATGCTCAAATATGTTTTCTTTAATCTTCTTCTCCAAATTAGTTCCTCCAGCTCTTATTATGGTTTTTTTTTGGTTGTTTCCTGAATTCCTTTCATTTCTTGCACTTCTCAAACACCAGACAATGGATCTTCTGCTTGCTACCAACAGCTTAGACTGTGTTTGTATCATCTTTATCTCTTGTATCCTCTCGGCAAGAAATTCATGCTTATGTGTATAAAAAAATAAATAAAGAAGAGACTATTACCAAAATGTCACACCCTTGAATGTGCTATGCACAGTGTCTGAATAGGTTTAAATATACAGTCTAAAATAGCACTACCTCTGGTGTGGGCATCGTGAGATCCTCTTGCTGTCTTTTGAAAGCACAGCGATCCTGTGCAGAACCCATTTGGAGAATTCCTGCCCTCCAGTCTGCCATATTTCCTTGTGGGTCTTCGCCATAACATGGTGCATGAGTCCTTTGTGTCTGATGAAAGTGTTACCTGATCCCACCTGTCTGCTTTTACATTGTGTCCTTCACCGTGGTGTCTGAGCTTGCCAGGTTGAGTAGATCTTTAGATCAAAGTTTTCTATATATGTTCTTTTAATCCCTCTTACTTCTCCCAGGCATCTGCTGATTGCTAGACTGACGTGCCTAAAGTCATTCTTCTGAGTGATTCCATGTACGAGGGGTGTTTTAAATTAGCACATAGCATGCTCCAGGATTAAAACTTGTGCACAGGTCCTAGTGTCTCTTTATCCAAGTCTAGACAAGACCTCTGTTTCACTTGGGGCTAATATTTGCAAACTGCGGTGGGATTTTTTGCTGAGAGGCACCATAGTCCATGATTAGCATGGTTCCTTGTGTATCACAGGGGTAGAAATCTTGACTAAGAATATGTCTTTGCAGAGGTAACCCAGCTGATTGACACTCAGACTAGCTTATGCCAGATGTGAGCAGCCATACTGCAAAGCTGCTCATGAGTTACTATGTCCTCAGTGGTGCTGTACTCCCTTGTGTGTGTCGCTAGGATGTGGGGGAGCATATCCCATGGTTCATTGAAGTAAACAAGGCTGCTCGGGGTCATTTGCAGTGAATTGTGGGAGACCTCTCCTTTGCCCAAGTGGACAGCCAAATAATAAGAGGTGGTGCAATCACCTATCCTGGAAATCTTTAAGTGGAGACAGGATGGTCACCTCGTTAGGGTGACCTGACTCCCAGTCGTCTTTCCTGCCTAATGCAGGGGGGCTGGACCCTATAATCTTGCAAGGTCCCTTCCAGCCCCTTACAAACTATGAATAAGCCTATGGTTTCAGGTGAGCCGGGTAGCTGCGTCTAAAAATCCCACTAACCTTAGGAGATGGGTTTTGTGTGGATGGGAAGATGTTTAGGAGCAGCATGTTAGCACTGGAGTGGATCTCCTGGGTCACTAAGTCTAGTCCTTGGCTTTCTGAGGCTGTGTCCTTCGATTCCATGCATAAATGGCTAAAATGCAGCTTCCTAAAGAATTTACTGCGCAGTGAAGATGCATCCGAGAGAAAACAGAGCCCTTGTTCTTGACTATTTATGCTGTCCGGTAAGATGACAGGACCCTTCCTAAGAGCTGTGGTGTTTCTCCTTGGGTCACTGCCATGCCTGCCCATTCTCCCCATGGGTTTAGTGTCTGGGGAATGGAACTGCATCAGCACTTAGCACAGTCAGGAGGAGCAGCGCTGGTCCTCTTCCAGCACGCAGATGTGCACACACGTTGCCAGACCCGTAGTGCCCTCTATCAGTGAGCGAGGGCTTCTGTGCATCCCACCGTTCCCAGCACCTGTTCAACCAGGAGAGGTGTCATGGTGGCATCTCTGCTGGCTGATGTGCCGCTGCAGGGGAGGGGGCGGAGGATTCGTACTGTGGCACATCTCAGTCTTGTTTCGCCCACCACCCGATGGAGTCATCTGATGGAGCTCATGTAACAATGAGCAAAATGTCAGGAAAAATGAAGTCTCAAGGTGACGTGATTCACCTGAAGAGAGGGGGGTTTTAAAGCAGTGAATCATTCTTGTCAGGAAAAACGACACCCTAATGAAGTGTTGCAGCGGCTAACTCTTTAATTCCTGAGAGTTGGTGTGTTTTTTCCCTTTGTTCCCAGCAGTGTCCGTTCCCCAACTGTACCGCACACTCTTCAGATACTCCCGGAGCACCAAAAACCACTCAAAATTTGTGCCTCAGAGAGTGCCCAGTCCACGGTGGACCCAACACTGCAAATGAGGGGTATAATTGGACACAGAGGGGAAGGACTAGGCTGGCAACAATGAGGTTACGCAGTAATGCACACATGGATCTCAATTTTAAACATTTCCTCCTCTGCCCTGGGGATATTGCAGTACTTGAGTACGTCGTCCTTGCTGATGGAACAATCACTGTGATACAATTCCCCCTAAAGTGGCGAAGCAGCTGGGGAAGCAGAGGAAAAATAAGCCTGGCAGCAGCCTCGAGAGAGGTCATCTAGTCCAACCCCCTATTCAAGGCAGGGTTATCTCTCTCCAAACCATCACAGCCAAATAAATGTTAATCTGTTTGGCACTTAAACTTGCAATGACAGATTCTGTAGCCTCTCAGAGGTATCTGTTGTAGATTTAACCATCCTCAGAGGTAGAAAGTTTTTCCTGATATCTAATCTAAACCTCCCTTGTGGCCATGTAAGCCCATTATTTGTTGTCCTGTATGTAGTGAACACAGAACAATTGATGGCCATCCTTTTTACAATTGTATTTTTTGTCTTGTCTTCTCTAAATTATACAGCCCCAGTTCTTCCTGCTTTCTTGTGTTGTGTGCATGGACAGAAGCTGCAGCAGGGATATGTTTCCCAGTATTAGTTGTGGCTGCCTCCAGCAGCCAAGGCAGACAAGGTTCTTTGCGTAAATCCAGTATCTTTTATTAGACCAACTAAAATAATTGGAAAAATTCTTCTTTACAAGCTTTTGGGTACAAACACCCTCCTTCAGGCAGAGGAAGCGCATGCAGTTGTTTTGCCCTCTTCCTAGCACAAAACAACTGCAGATGTTTCCTCTGCCTGAAGAAGGGTGTTTGTACCTGAAAGCTTGCAGAGAAGAATTTTTCCAACTATTTTAGTTGGTCTAATAAAAGATACTGGATTTAGCCAAAGAACCTTGTTTGCCTGTGTCCTTAGACCAACACGGCTACAACCAGCACCCTTCCAATAGCCAAGGGGTTTAGGTCACAGGGCCCTGGATAAGTCAGGAGGCAGCCTCTACAGAGCAGTTCTCAACTGTAGGTCAGTAGCCTGCGGTCCCTGCAAAGAGGTCCAAGTGGGCATGTGGGCAGCTCCTTTTCCACACTGTAATCTGGAACTGGTTTCTTCCTGGTGAGGGACGGGCGAAGATTTAAGGAGGAAAACAGTGGAATCTGTATCCTTGCTCTCTCCAAATGGTAGTTCCTGCCTGGAGCATAACTAGGAAATGTATGCATGTGTGTATGAGAGACAGAGAGAGTGTTACTTTTCTATTGTAGTGGAAACTAAAAGCCAAATAAGACTAACATTCCCCAGAGACCAGTTTTTATCCGGAGGGTGTCCTTTGGGAATTTGTAGGCCTCTCTATTTTTTTTATTTTCCTTTTTTTCTGTATTTTGTTTTGCCTCTTCTAGTCTCTTCCAAGCCAGGGACCTGTGTGAAAGTGCTGACAATTGAGCCCCCAGGTAACTGCCGGCTCCAGGAGGACCTGGCTCTACTTGCAGACTGCGCCCTGCCAGCTGAACTGCGGGTAGGAAGCATTTATATTTCTTCCTACTCTTCAATGGGCCCTTCTGCCTGTGCTTTCTGTCCACAAGTGTTTAGTCTCATGCTCCCTGTGGGTCCTGTGGTCACTTTTTTGCTGACGTGAAAGGCATGTGCTGAGTTTCCAGACATCAAAGCCTTGTTCCGCACAGAAAGATGATGTACAGAGCACACCCTGGCTGCCTGCGCCCACCCTTCCACTAGGTTTATTTGTGTCCGTCCTTTCCTAGATTTCATCAAGGTCAAAGGTTTCCTCTTTGATACACAGTAGGGGTAGGATGTTTGGACCCATGTTTGACGTGTTATTGGGTTTCAAGACAGGAAAATGAGTTGTTTGGGTGGCAGCAGTCCTTTGGGCTTGTAGAAATGGACTGGATGCCTCACTGGGGTTACCTATCAACAGGGTTAAGCTAATCGTGCGTTTGAGAGATGCCCGTCAGTGTTTTAGCAGGGAGTCGGTTGTTGTGTTGCTTCTCAAGGGTGTTGTCAGGGTTTGTGTCTTCCCTGTAAGCATCTTCCAATGGGTGAGCCTGCCAGATACTGGTGGGCCTCAGTTCTTCTTTGTCTTTCTTGTTTAGTGTCTTTATACTTTAATGGTTGTCCCAGGGTGTTTTTTTTCCTCATTAAGAAGTAAAGTTAATAAAATGCACTTTATTTTAAGCAGCTTCTATGCCTGTGGGTTGTGAAACAGAACAGTGTAGCAGAAGTAAGCAGTAAGGTTTGCTAACAACTGCTAGCTGCAGAGCAAAAGGTAATGTACCTGAAATGAGGAAAGGACGTCTCATTGTCTTGACTTGTATAACTTGGTGGCTGAGATTTCTTAAACATAGAAACATTTCTTATGGTCATAGAAACATAGATGATTGGGGTTGGAAGGGACCTCCGGAGATCACATCTAGTCCAGCCCCCTGCCCAAAGCAGGACCAGCCCCAACTAGATCATCCCAGCCAGGGCTTTGTCTAGCCGGGTCTTATAAAGCTCCAAGAGTGGAGATTCCACCACCTCTCTAGGTAACCTGCTCCAGTGTTTTACTACCCTCCTAGCGAGACAGATTTTCCTAATATCCTGTTAATAATAATAAGAAGAAGAATAGTTGTTTCAGTATATTTTGTGCTGCCTTCTAGCAATCCATTCATCTTCACCACCGAGGTTCCCTCTACTAAGTCAGAAAGCTCTTTTTTTTTATTATACTTTTAATGTGGTTTTCATCATTTTTCATGTAGAGATGCAGTAGGGGGTCTTGCCTAGTGAAGTATTCCCAACCTCAAGCATTCAAACTTTGAGATTTGGACTTAAAATTGTAGAGCTTTTGGAGAAAACGGGTATCTTTGTATTTGTAGTTGCTTTTTGGTCTCTGAGTCCTTAACACTAGGGTTTCATTATGAAGCCTCTGAGTGATAGATATTCAACTGAAGAAAAAAAAAAAGCAACCTAAGATTCTCCCATGGAAAGTTGGTATTGGGTCTTTAAGGGAAAATAAAAACTGCTTATTACAGGATTCAAAATTAAATAATGGGAATTGGCAGTGTTGAGTTTCTCCAATTTTTTTCAGCTTTTATCATATAGCCCAGAAAGAAAGTGGATCATAATCCAGTCTAAACATGTTCTGTTCGTATTACTGTCCTGACTTGTGGATTTTCATGAATTTTTGGAATGATGCTGTGCTAGTTCCCATCACCATGTTCCCTTGAACTGCCTTGTTTCAACTTGCTAAGTTGAAAAAATCCTCCCTTCTCCCAAACTAATTATAAAGAACCCCAAAAAACAGGACTTTAGTTCAAGTTAATCTGAATGGTACCTCTTGGTTACCCCTTAGATTTTGTCTGAATCTTTGCTGGCTGAGATCCTTCTGTGAAGTAGGCATTTCAGATCCAAGGCAGGAATCTCATCTCACTTTGGTATTGGGGAAACAGTATAACGTAAAGCCCTTGACCTAAAACGTCAGTCATGAACAGTCAGTCACAAACCTCCAGATTCTCAATAATGCTCTACAGAACATGCCAAGTAACAAATACCGATTTGTGTGAGAAGCCAGTATTTGTAGCCAGTGCTTCAGAACTGATTGCAAAAGCAAAGCATTGAATTGCCAGGCAGCATACAGCTTTGTATGATGTGAAATTCAGGTGCATGTCTTTTTTTCTGTAATACTCTGATGCTGAAGACATTAAATACATATTTTCTACCTTTAAGGAAAAAACTCCCCCTTTGAACTCTCACAGGTTTGACTCTGTTTATATAAGACAGCAAAACTAGGACATTTTACTAGACTTGCCAAGAGACATCTTCTGTAGTGCTGTGTGGTATTGCTTAGATTTACCCCATGGTATTAAACTGCAGAATACAGAGATGTGAAAGCTATTTTGGGTGGTTATGTTGATTTTGTTTTTTTGGCAAGCTGTTTTAGCCATCCGCATATATTCATTGATCAGTACAATGAAGGGGCTATTCCATTATGTAAGGGGCTGCTTCTAACTGCCTTTTCCATGCAGTTAAAACCTGGGTGTCTATTTTTTAGTAGTTATTCTTGTTTGTACTTGAAATTTTCTTTGTCTTGTTGCTATTTGCTTTTAGAACCAGAATTTTAGTTATTAGCTCAAACACGTTGGGAAAATCCCAACAAAACATTTCTAAAGGATTTGTCAGTTCATCAGAATCAAAATAGTTTGCAGAGGCTTATTTCAACAGAGTTCCAGTAGAGCCGGCACAGGTTTCCAGTCTGGTTTCCCAGTTGGCCAACCTCCTTTGTCATTGAGCCGTCCTGTGGAGGGTCTTAGTCTGAACCCAAGAGCTCCCAAGGTCCACGGCTCCATGACAATTCTCCAATCTGAGGCTTGGAGTCCATTTCATGGAGCATTTTAAAAGCTTTGGTTTCTATGTGAATGTAGAGCAAAACCAAATTCTGCAATGTCACAGTTCTCCTTAAAATGCAATGTCTCTGCCCAGCAGATGAAGCCTCAACAATGTCTTTTACCTCTTGGGCGCAGCACTAACTTTTTGAATTCATAGAAACTAGAGGTGGAAAGCTCTAGTCTTTTCCCTTGACTAATGCAGGGTGATTGTTGTTAGGAGGTTTTGCTTTTGTTGGCTTGCTTTGTTCTTTTGCAGGTGCACCGATTTGTACCTTGTGCCATAGTACCCCGATGACCCAATTTGCAGTTGGTTTTAAAATCCGATGTTTGATTACCAGTTGGCAATCTCATCATGAATTACTAGGTCATAATGAGACCCTGGATTGTATGTTGTAAACTATTTGCAACTGAATTTGCGTGAGGTGTTTATCCCCATAGAGCAAATTGCTTCTCCCTGCCTGTTGCTCACAGTGTTGTTCTTGTCTGAACTTCAGCAGCAATCTCCTTTGGGGAAGAGATTTGTTCTTTCCATGTATGGTGATTTAAGCAACTGTGTTCAGTTCTTGAATTTTTGGTGCTTGCTTTGCAAATTGTTGCTAAGAAAACTGCTCTCTCAAGAATGCCTCTTCCTGACTTGCTGGCCAGGCATCTAGGACTCTATTCTCCAGGCTTGGGACCAGGAAAAATGCTTAATGTTGCCTGATGGTGGTCAGCAGGTCTGCTAAAGAAGCTCCTTGAGGGGGAAATGCCGTTGGATTGAGAGCAGACATCCCCTGAGCAGGACAACAGGGCAGAGGTGATGAGAGAGGTTTAAAAAGGACTCGGAGATGGACCAGAAGGGGAACCCTCACGCAGAAAGATTTCAGCAGAAGGGAAGAGACAAGGATGCTTTTGTAGCAGGGCTTGAAGGGCAGGGGGAGGCTTTGTGGTGGCACCAGCCAAAGTCAGAAAAGCCAGACCAGGCTGACAGGACTTCGTGGTGCAGATGACAAGCTGCAAACTGTTTGAAAGGACCCTGAGCCCAAAGCATGTGTGGAACTGAGGCAGGAGAATGAATGTAGAGGTTGCTTTCATTGCAGAGAGACCCGCTGCAATTAAAGGCATGTGAGTGAGCCCGAGCGGGGCTGCTGCGGGTTCTGGGAAAGCGGCAGTGGAGTGTCGGCCACAGCCGCGTTGTGAATGCCACCGAGCTTAGCTGTGCTATAATTAGAAACCAGCTTGTGCCAAGTGGTGCTGTGTGCTCGGAGCGAGCCCAGGCTGCCATGTTCAAGCACACTGTGAGCCCGTGCCAGCTCAGCGCCGGGCCACATTGTGGGAGAGCACCAGCTGTGCACACACGATGGTCTGTGACATGCTGCCTCGCTGCCGTCCGGGTCCTTTCCTAGTCCAGTTATGGGGGATGGGGAGGGACAAACCAAACCATTTCTACTTCAGTCACCTGAACTGGTGGTTGGTAGCAGGGATGGGAGGCAGGTGGAAGTTTTCTTGCTTGCCATCCCAGAGTGTGGATGGACACCCCTGGGCCAGCTGTGGGTGTGAGTAGCTGAGAGAGATGCACAGCTCAAGGACTTATACCTGGATAGAAGTGAATAGAAAGAGCTCTCTCCACATGTCCCCCAGGGGTAATGGGCTTGTGTTTCATGGCTGTGAAGGTAGCTATGCATTTCAATTCTCTTGTAGGCAGAGAGAGTAATTTAGAAGCAACTTGTATTGGGAAGTGTCATCATTTGGAAAAAAAAAAAAAAAAGAAGAAGAAAAGAAAAAAAACAAGCCACCAAACTAAACGTGCCTGGCTTGGCACGTGGGACTGGGAATGTCGTTTGCAGTATTTCAGCCCTAGAAGTAGTTTAACTTTTCTTTTTTTAGACTGCAGATTTGAGGGGAATAAAATGCGCGTGGAAACCACTGTACTGCTTTGAACATGGCTGCAATCTTCAAGTTGCTTTAGACCTGCAAACTTACTTATTCATTTGATCTATAAAATGCACTTTTGGCATATGCAGTAATTCAACAACATGCTGCTACTTGACTACCGTATATGATGCCCATTTCATGAAATGGCAGCAATCTACCCAGAAACCTGCTGCCTCTTTAAAAGTCAGAGAGAGAGTCCTTCCCTGGGTCTCTCGAGTGAAGAAACCGGGGGAGGTGAGTCTCTGTTCAGAAGCCTCTGAGCTGAGACTGGCAGATACACCACTCCCAGGGGAAGAGCTAGGAAGAATTTTTTGGGTGATCTCTGTTGTCACATGGGTAGTAGAGCCAGGGCACCCAGGGCTTTCCACATCAATCACTTGCTTAAGCCCTGGCTGTTAAATGCATATTTTCATTTACATTCGTTTCTTTTGTTTTTCCAGGTGGGTTTTGGGGAGCTACCATTTGACAGCACCGACAACTTCAACTGCTGCCCTGATGTGTGCTTCCGAGTGGCAGAATACAACTTTCTGTGCCATAAGGCATGTGCTTACATTATAATTTCCTCTGTCTATACCCATCTTTCTCCCCCCTTCAGTCCAAGGTGGTATTTCCAGTAAAGAAACCATTGGCTTTCTATTGAAGCCAGGCAGTGTCCTGCTGCAGCTGTAAGCTAAACTTGAAGTTCCTTTCCTAATGAAAACTTCTTTACCTTGTGAGGGAGGCAGACAGGACATGGATTTATGAGTTGCAGCAAAGTATTAATTGCTGGGAAAGTTTTTTTTTTTCTCATCTGCTGTCAGTGAAAAGCCAGTTCCTTGTGTTGGCCAGGGGGTTGTAGTGCTGAGAGTGAGAGGTTTTTTTTCTTCTTAAGAGACCCCACACAAGTTAAGGTGATATTAGGAAGAGAGTCTGGAAACCTGACTCCCCCTCTTAAGCACTATCTGTTATTATTTTAGACAGATCAAGATTTCTTTCTCTTTTGCTTCTGGGGGCAAACATGAAAGAATAAGATTGTGGGGGAGGAAAAGAAGGTTCTTGGAGACTTGCTGTAAAACCCTGACACGTTGGGAGCAGGTGTGATACTGGTGCTGTACTTCAGAACTTGCTACTGAGTTCTGAAAGGGTCTCCTGGCTGGCACCTGGCCAGTGCTATTTGGCTCTGTCCGGCAGAAGGGGAGGCTGGCATCAGACCGTGTTTCCTCTCCCGAGCAGGCATTTTTCTGTGGCCGCAGCGATTACTTCAAAGCCCTTCTTGAGGATCACTTCTGCGAGAGTGAGGAGCTGCAGACGCAGCCCAGCATCCCCGTGGTGACGCTTCATGACATCTCGGAAGACATCTTCATACGGGTTCTCTACTACATTTACAGCGATGACACCGAGGTGAGTCTGGCCTTTCAGAGCATTCCTAAATATAATTGCACGAGGTTCAGCCGTTAGCACCCTGGTGCTGGTGGGTTATATACCACTTTCCTCACTTGCTTGCTAGTACCCTGCCTTGCCTATATTGTGGACTAGACAGCAGTTTGGCTTCCTGAGCAACCACTGTGCAGCTAAATGTCATGGGTATCTTTCATCCCAAGCTACACCTGTAGGTGAGGTTCCCTGCTTTGGCTAGCTGTACACGGCTGGACTTGCAGGGCTCTGATTCCTCAGCAGATGCTATTGTGTGACTTTGCTCTGAAAAGAGGGGCATGCTCAATATTTTACCATTAGATGGCAGCATAAGCATGTGTACAGAAGTGCTAAGGTTTGGGGACCTGGCTTGTTCCCTCTTGACATTTGCAGCCAGTTTCAGAATTCATAACAATTCATTAATGTCATTATTGTTTATTGCTGTGGTGCCTAGAAAGAAGCTCTTGCCAGAGCACAAGGCCCGAGTGTGCCAGGCTTTTTACACTCAACACGAGACCCAGAGCTTGTGGTCTCATTTAAAAGTGCAGCAAAGCTCTGAGCAGCTGCGTGCTTTTATTGCAAGTGCTTTCCCTCTGTCTAGTTACACATGAGAAGTCAGGGTGCGCTTAGGCAGTGCTGAAATGGTTGAAGATGATGGCACACCTGTTGTCCCCCTCCGACAGGGAGCCCTGCGGACTGTGCTCTTGGTAGGGAATGCGCCAAGTAAGGAGAAGGGTCACAGCTGCAACCATGTTCCTACTGATTAGCTTGGCAGTGGGTGGTCCTAGGGAGGCTCTGAGGCAGGAAGGAAAGTGATTTATCAGGCAGGAGGTCGCTACAAACTACTGTATATACTTGAATATAAAACGACCCCACCCCCATCAGCCTTGTCTTAGATTTGTGTATGGTGGGGAAGCAGGTGGCAGCTGCTGCAGCTTTGGCTCTGGCACTGAGCCTGGGTCGGGACCAGTGTCAGACCCATTGCAGCCTCTTGCTCCCCTTCCCACACCCACTTTGCTTGCCCTTTGCAGCTTCTGCTCCCCTTTGCTCCCTTCCCCACCCTACTGTCAAACACAGCTCAGTTTGGATTCCCTCCTGGGCATGAAGCACATGGAAAATCCATCCCCTGCCCAGTCGGTTGGCAGTGCCGATGCTGCCGCATGGCTGGCAAGGGTTGCACTTCCATATGCTGTGCTCCAGGGAGTGAACAGAGCCCAAGTAACATTTGACAGTAAGCTGTGGTTTTGGGGAGGCAGACACTGGGTGTAGTTGGGGAAGGGGCAAAGGCTCTGGGGGTGGGCGGGTGCAGGAAGGCTGCAGGGGGAATTGGGAGGGGGGGCAAAGGGTGAGGAGGACACCTGACCCCTTCTCCTGGCC